CACCCAAACTGGAGCACTGTGGCAGGATCTCAGCTCACTGCAACCTCGACCTCCTGGGTTCAAACGATCCTCCCACCTCAGCCTCCTGAGTGCCCGGGACCACAGGCGCCACCACCAGGCCTAAGTGGAAACAAGGTGGGACAGTGTGGGCCCTGCCTCCTCCCTGCTGGTAACTCCCCAGGCCCAAAGCCAAAGGGAGGGGGCGCCACACAAGGAGCGTGCACTCCATGATAAACGCTGCAAGATAAGGTTTCTCAAGTGTATTAAGGTTGTTTTTTTTTTGTTTTTTTTTGAGACAGAGGCTTGCTCTGTCTCCTAGGCTGGAGGGCAGTGGTGTGATCTCGGCTCACTGCAAGCTTCGCCTCCCAGGTTCACGCCATTCTCCTGCCTCAACCTCCCCAGCAGCTGGGACTACAGGCGCCCGTCACTACTCCCGGCTAATTTTTGTATTTTGTATTTTTAGTAGGGACGGGGTTTCACGATGTTGGCCAGGCTGGTGTCGAACTCCTGACCTCAGGTGATCCACCCGCCTTGGTCTCCCAAAGTGTTGGGATTACAGGCGTGAGCCACCCGCGCCCAGCATTCCTTTTTTTTTTTTTGAGATGGAGTCTCGCTCTGTTGCCCAGGCTGGAGTGCAGTGACGTGATCTCGGCTCACCACAACCTCCACCTCCCAGGTTCAAGAGATTCTCCTGCCTCAGCCTCCCGAGTAGCTGGGATTACAGGAGCCTGCCACCACACCCGGCTAATTTTTGTTTTTTTTTTTTAAGGAGAGACAGGGTTTCTTCATGTTGGTCAGGCTGGTCTCGAACACCTGACGTCAGGTGATCCACCCACTTTTGCCTCCCAAAGTGCTGAGATTTCAGGTGTGACCCACTGTACTTGGCCTAAGGTTGTTCTTTTAAAGACAACCTGGCCATGTGAGGTGGCTCATGCCTATAATCCCAGCACTTTGGGAGGCCAAGGCAGGCAGATCACGAGGTCAGGAGATCGAGACCATCCTGGCTACGGTGAAATCCCATCTCTACTAAAAATACAAAAAATTAGCCGGGTGTGATGGTGGGCGCCTGTAGTCCCAGCTACTCGGGAGGCTGAGGC